CCTCATTCAGTGTGCCTGTTGAATAGTGCACGAGGCAGGAGAATCCTGAGGATTCATACCTCATTCTGGGCCAGATTCTGTCTGCAGTGACAGTTGAGCAAATCTAATATCACTTACTCTGATAAAGCAGAATTTGGCCCTAGTACAAAAGATGCTCGTTATATAGCGAATGAGGCAGACAGAAGCCAGTCGTTGAACACAGATTACACAAATTAAAAGAAATTAATTTGTAACTATAACATTAATGATTCTTATTTTTAATTTATATTTGATTGCTGGACCCTTCTCTGTACAGTAATTCCGTCTGTCTACTCCATGTTTGCATTAGTGGCTATGTTGTCAGCACTCATCAAATGAATAACCTGTCTGTTGCTCCTCAGGAAGTATGCAAAAGCAGAAACTCTTATGACAGTCACTGATCCTGTACATGATATTGCATTTGCTCCGAATCTGGGAAGATCCTTCCATATTTTAGCTGTAGCTACCAAAGATGTACGAATTTTCACACTGAAACCTGTAAGGTGAGCTTTTGAACCAGATTTCTTAACAAGAAAGCATATAGTTGTGTAGTCTTATGCTAATATGCTCAGGAGATAAAACAAAACATTATCAGTACTTAATACTTAAGCCTATCCAGAAAGAGTTGCTCTTAGCAGTCTATTAAAGGCAACCAATGAACTAGCACAACAAAACTTTCTTTCAATATCATTTACTATTACTTGTTCAAGGAAAATATTGTCACAAACCTTGGAAAACATAGCTCCCTTTTGTTGTTGCACATTCAAGACAATTTGTATTTTCTTTGGTCAGAATTAGTAATGTTTATTGTCTTAAAATACAGATGCATGTAGAATTTTTACCCGCTTTCTTTTCTTAACAGGAAAGAATTGACTACTTCTGGAGGACTAACAAAATTTGAAATTCAGATAGTAGCTCAGTTTGATAATCACAATTCCCAGGTCTGGCGAGTAAGCTGGAACATTACAGGCACAGTGCTTGCATCATCTGGTGATGATGGCTGTGTTAGACTATGGAAAGGTAAGAGTTCTGTAGGGTACACATTAAGGTATTTTAGATTGCTTTGTCAAATGTTGAAAGATTAAAGATTGACCTGTACTTATGGGAAAACTTAATTGGTTCTGGAATGCAAGTTTCTTTGAATTGGTTTGTGGACCGTAAGACTTTCTATTGCTGCGTGCGTTTGGAAAAGAAAAGAAAATCTTTTATTTGCTGGACCTCAGAGAGCACTTGCTTTGTTTGATTTATAATACGGTAATAGCCAACAGAACTTGTCTTCTGAATTGTTCAGTTTGTTCTAACTAAAGTAGTACAAGTTAATGTGACCTTTTATCTCATGAACATGTCTTCTGCAGTCAGGAATAAATGTGAGATGTATACAAAACTCTACAATATCAAAGTTACAATGTCTGTTGCCGTCTTCACCTGATGGCAGAAGAGTGAAAAATCTATATTCCCCAGATCCTGCTCAGGGAACAATACAGATACTTAATCTTTAACACGTCCAACTAATACTTTGTAATTTTATCAGTACTAACATTTTTGTATGTAGTTACTTACAGGAAGGTTCAACTTTACCACTTGTATTATACTGATTTACTGAATAGTGAAGTTTTCTAGCTTAATAAAGAGGAAATTGAAAAAAATAGTGTGGAAAGAGAATGTCAAACAGTTAAAGAGCTAGATCCTCAGCTGTCTTAAATTGATATAGCTCCTCTGACTTCAGTGGTACTTCACCGACTTACACCAGCTGAGAATCTGTCCAAAATGTTGTAACCTTATCAAATGTTCTTGGAGATTAGGGATGGAAATGAAAACTATTTTTTTTTATGATTTTGCAGCTAATTACATGGACAACTGGAAGTGCACTGGTATACTGAAAGGTAACGGGAGTCCAGTCAGTGGTAGTTCTCAGCAGGGAATGTTTAATGCTTCTCTAGGTTCAGCCAATACAAGCCTACAGAATTCATTAAATGGATCAGCTGCTGGCAGGTAGGCTAATTTATACATAGTGTATTCAAAAATTCTAGAGTCTATCTTTTGTGTACCTACTTCACTCTTAGTTTCACTCAATTCTGATGTCCCTTTTATGGTTTTTAGGTCTGGTGGTTATGCTTACGTTTTTTATTATTGTACTAGTGTTTTTTTCCTGTTATACTAACATTTAGAAAAGTGCTTACTAAATTATTTAATTTTGCATTTGTAAGGCAATCATAGATTCCAGCATATAGCAGGTACCCTTTTTCAGGGCTCTGTGTACTCTGCAGCACAATGGGATCAAATTCCACAGCAGAATTTTCCAAATTCTGCAGCAAACATTATTTTATACTATCACTGTGAAATATCCTTCATTTCCATTCTTAGGCAAATGCAACTGTGGTTCATAGTTCAAAATATTCATTCACATAAAATTCAGTGATTATTTTTGAGGATGGGTATCTTTCCTATGCTCTCCAGGTGGCCTGGCTCCACAACCCAAGCCTTGGCTCCCGTGATGTTGTCCAGGAGGCCCAGCTCAGAAGCTCCTTCCCTTGTGTGTACTAGGGAAGGGGGAAGCTTGTAGCTGGCTTCAGCAGGTTATCTCCCTGATTTCCCAAGTGTCGGCTGCTACTCTGCTATCCCGGCAGCCCAGCTGGCCAGCCTATGCTTCTGGCTTCTCCTTCTCTTGGCTGTAAGCTGAACTCCAGCTCTGGCCCTCAATGGAACAGTGCAGGGATCATGCACTGTAATCTAATTAACTCTCCTTTGTGGGGAAAGCTAGAGAGCCAAGAGGCAGCTGCAGACCAAATCCCAGGAGGACAGGAAGACAAAAGTCAGCTGGTTGCAGCAAAAATGTTGAACTCTATATCATCTTGCAAAAATGCTGTATTCTACAGTTGTGGAATTGTAGACTCCACAGGGCCCTGACTGTGATGGATGGGACAGTTTACACCTCTTAGAGCTATTGTTTCAGGCTCTTGGCAGACTCGGGCAGCCACCACTTCATTGGTGTATGTTTCCAAGGTTATCTCCACAATTCTAAGGACTAGAAACATACTTTTAAAAAAAGAGAAATGTAAGATTCTTGTTCACAATTCTGCAGCAGGGGTGAATTCCACTGTGACGTCTACGGCCATGGAATCTCTGACTATACTGGGTCCTGCCCTTTATGATAGAGCCTTACTGTGTGAGAAAGTATTTACCTACCTATTTTGCTTTGTAACTACATTGGGTTAAAAGTTAGCTTAAAAATCATATCTATAATGTGCTTTAGTGGATTTTAAGTTTAATAAAAACAAAGCATATATTAACTATTGACCAAATTGGATTGGACCACCATTAGATTGCTTTTAGGCTGTCTCTAGGCTCTGACTTTCAATGCATTGTACATTTAAACAGCTAAGGGGCAGTTAAACTATAATAAGATTTCAATCTTTGGAAAATCAAATTTATCAGAATAAGTACATCATACCACTTATGCTTTCCAAACTGTGGGTTAGTGATAAAAATAGTTTTGGAATGATTTGAAACATGAAAATAAATTACTGGAAAACCCACACTCAGTAGTGCTGTGTTCTTATTGTGCTGATAACCACATGTGCCTAGATTTGTGATGCATTTTCCCTTCTCCATTTGTATTATGTCCTTTTTAACAGAAAACAGAGCTGATATCAACCTAACTGGAGTAACTTTGCTGTTTTGCTGCTTGTTGCATGCACACAGGAATGGAAAGAGAACTTCTTTTTCCCCTCCCCAACGCCGTTTGACCTCTCCCAAGACACCAGCAGCCTGATAACTACTAAAAGCAATTCAAAAGGCCTTTTTAAAAATACACTGTATACCTTTTTGTACTAGCCATTGCAGTTTGACACTGTTGGAACTTCTGAAAGAAAGATAATTGGAGAGGGTTCTTGTTGAGACAGATTTCCACCAAAATAGGTTTCCCCCCCCACCCCCGACTGCCCGCCCTGGAAAGCTCATGAAACTAATGGACTAGTATATGGATTAAGAGGATTTGTTGTCCTTAGCTGGGGTGTGAGGAGGGAAAAGACTGCTTAATGACCATTAAAGTCAGTTAATTTTCATTAAAATTGTTTGAGTGTTGATTTTGTTTTACATTTTGTAGTATTCAAATATATAATTGATTCCTAAACATTACAGCTTTGTAATTACTTTGTAATATACTGAAACTGTTTAGTCTAAAAGGAATAAGAGAACAGTCTGATTTGACAACTGTACAGATATTAGCTTAATTTAGTGTGGCGTTGCTTCATTTATAAATTTGAACTACTTCAAAGAAATGTTTTGTAAATGCTGTCATACTTTCTTCAGGCTCACTAAAAATACTTTTTTCTGATAATGTGTTTGTATGTTCCTGTGGTGTGATTCCAGAGAGTAATTATGATTCCCTGTGAGCACAACATTCTGAAACTTACAGTAATCTAGGAAACACCTAAATTCAGATCAACATGCATCTTTAAATGTGGATTATCCCAGGATTTATTAATTACTTGGCCACGCCATTCTGTAAATATTCTCAGAGCAAAAAACAAGACAGATAATGTCTCCAAATATTTTAATAGTTATATTAAAGTGCATAAATGTTACGGGTAAGTCATAATAGAAGTTGGCAAAATGACATGAAATGGCATTCTCTGAGCATTGTTGATCAGAAATCTTTAGCTTGTTCTGAGATTTCTGCAGAAATATGTAAATACATACAAAGATTGTATTTAATTGAAAAGAGTAGTCCTTCCTTGTAAATGTATATTGTGATATCTAAGTATTGTAAAAACAATCTCATGTTTTTACATCTGTTCTAAAAACTTGCAGTAAAATTGATCTGAGTTGGATGCAAATGCAGCATGTGTACTTGCATAATATTTAATGTCTGTGTGGTGTTGCAAATGAAGCATTATTAAAGTCTCTGTTAATAAGTTGCATGAATTCTAGGAGAACCGTGTGCATCAAAGATGTTGATAGCTATGTTAGAAAATCCTTTTAATTTACAAAGTAACTTGTTTCTTTGTAAAATGCATATTAGGAATGTATTTACAATATTCTTTTTTATGAGGCTTTCAGTGGAAAAGAGTATACTTTTTTTCTTTAAAGAATAGTTTCCAGACTTGTTCAATCAATCTTGTTTTGAATGAGTGCCTTGATTTCTGCGGTTACGTTTCATTGGTTTTGGCATGGATATACTAAAGCTTTGTTTTTCCAGCATGTCTTTTCTCCCCTTTGGTTCTCCTTGTATTTACTACTTTTCTCTTTTTCTTCTGTTTCTTTTTTGTTTTGGTGTTTTGTTCCTGTCTTAATTGTTTCAGGTATTTCTTTCCCCCTCTGGATTCCCCACGGGCTGGATCGAGATGGTCCAGTTATGCCCAGCTCCTACCTCCTCCTCCTCTGATAGAGCACTCTTGTGATGCTGACACTGCCAACCTCCAGTATCCTCACCCAAGCAGACGATATATCTCTCAGCCTCTTAACCTTTTACCTGAGAATGAAGGGGTTTAATATACATACTCAAAATAAATCCGAAAGGGCCTTATTCAGATGCTTGTAAATGCTTCAGTTTTTGGCTGCTTTCATTTTTCACTTTTCCTCCAAAAGCTTTTAAAAAATCAGGGCTTTCTTGCATGTTTTGCAAACACCACAGTATTTGGAACCTAATGTTTGTGCTTGTGCATCAAAGGGATATTAGCTCTATTATTTAGTACCCTTTGATGAACTATGACTGCACACAAGCAGCATTAACTGTGAGCTATATAGAGAGAGTAGCTGACTTCAAAGTGCCTATCTAATAGTTGGGGGGGTTTTGTGCTCGGTTTATTGTGGTCTTGAGTTTCTTACGTTATACGATATATCACATCCATAAATGTGAAATGTGTCGTCAAAGTTCAACACGCCTTCAAGAAACTGTTCTAGAGCTTTAAAAGATAATTTGAATTGACATCTAAAATAAAAGAAAATATTCCTGCATATACTACAATAGAAGTTTAATTAGGTGTGTTTGATCACTTTTAGAATTTTCCACCTTCTTGCATAAAATAAATTTTATAATTATTAGGTCAATTAAACTTATTTTAAAAGGTTTGTATTAGTTTGCTCTTTTTTCATCAAAAGGAATACTATTAATATGATAGAGCCTTTCTGATGCAAATATCCAATCTAACATATTTACAGTGGGGTACATGTGAGCAAATTAAGCAACTTCTTCAGAAGGCTTACAACTCAAATTTCGTGTATTGTTTCCTTTAAATACTTTCAAACAAGATTTGGCTGTTAGTATGCAAGACATAACAGCTTGCTGATTGTGACTACAGTAGTTGAAGAAGTGAGGTTCTTACCCACGAAAGCTTATGCTCCCTGTACTTCAGTCTCAAAGGTGCCACAGGACCCTCTGTTGCTTTTTACAGATTCAGACTAACACGGCTACCCCTCTGATACAGTAGTTGAGTGATCACCAAAAGTCTTGTCTAGTACACTTCTTTACTGGCTTATGATGTATAAAGAACTGAAAGTAAGTTGTATTTTTTCCCCTCATTTTTAATTTAGAAATTCAGGTTTTGTGTGAAATTTCATCAAAAGGGGCCAAAGGTGTGAAAGGTAAGGAAGTGAGAGTGGAACTTTTTTAAATGCTTATCACTGACATTTGTAAAGTCAATGATAAGCATTTTACATAACTGATGTCTTAAAAGATTCAATGCCTCCTGCCCTTTCAGTTGAGGTGCAAGGCCCTGATACATATCTTCAGAGCCCCCACTATGTTCAAGAGCAAAACACAGCAGAGCCTGGTGTTAACATTCCCCATAGCTAAGATTTTTTTAAAAGCAGAACAAAAGTTAGATCTTTATGCCCTAAGTACCAAAAATGGCCCAAGCCCAGTTGCTCAAAAATTAGTAACAGATTATCTTTAAGACTGCAAAACAGTTGCCATTCTACCCCTTGTTTTAACATACTACAGCTTTACACAAGATATGGATTGAAATTTCCCAATATTCTGCAACACTCGAGCATATGCTTTAACATTGTGTGAGAGTATTCTCATTCACTTCAGAGGGTTTGCTCCTATTTGTAAAGTTAACCATGTGCAGAAGTGTTGGTAGAACTGAGAACTGCTTGAAGTTGACTGTTTTTTGTTCTATTTTAAGTTACAGCTCCTGCTCCCTGTCCCGAGAATGGGGAGTAAAAAGCTTGTGCAGTGTGTAGTTGGGAAAAACAAACAAAACCAAAAACCATTTTCTCTTTGCTGACCAGTACTCAGTGTACCTCTTCCTGATAACTAAAATGCCTGAATTTCAGAGTTTAAAATTGTGGTATGCAAGTTAACCTTTATGAGTACGGCCCTAGCTGATTATTTTAAAAATAAAGTATAAATATTTGAAAATGCAAGACTAAAAATGTGCACTAGCTTAACGTTTTCTATCATCTATACACTGAAAATATGATGTGTATGTACAGGTGCTTGTGTAGCTATTTGGTGTCCTGAATTTACAAGCTCAGCTGCTGAAGCAAGAGAAGATTGTTCCACAGGGGCTGGTGTGTTGGTTTTTTCGTTTTTTTTGCGGGGGAGGATTTTTTCCTACATAAACAAATGCAGAATAATTGTAGTGAAAGAGTGCATCCACATGATTTGTTTGTTCTGGCCTAAGATATGGTGGTTGTGGATCATTGCATTTACGCAACTTGGGCCAGATATCCTACGGTGCAGTGGCTCTAATCCAAATGTACTTAGGAGGAAGGGACACTGACACTTTTCCCCCATGCGGTAGCAGGAAGCCATATTGTAGCAGGACAGTACCCCGAAGTGCAAGGTTTGTGCTTGGGGGAATTTTGTGCCCCAAAATTAAAAATTCTGCACAAGATATTTTAAAATTCTGCATATTTTTTATTTGTTAAATTCACACACTATAATCATGCCCGTTTCAATTATGTTGGGAAATTATTTCAAAATACTTGTCAGCAAGTATATAACAATGCAGACAAAAAAGTCAACAAATGTTTTCTGTCAAATAAGGTTCCTTACTAGGCATATTAATACAGATCTCTGAGTAATCATTCATTTAAAGTACAATACAGAAACTTATTTCCTGCACACCTCAGAAGCAGTGCAAAGGCTTGGGGGAGTTGGGGATAATGGAGGAGCTGAGGAAGAGGGAAGTAATTGCTAGGAAGGAGCCTGAGAGTGAACGTGGAGGTTGGTTGGGTGTGGATAGGAGAAGCAGGGAACTTTCTGTGGGGCGGGGGAGGAGGATTGTTAGGGAGTGGGGGAGCTTCCTCTATGCAACCCCTGCCTGACCCTTAGCCTCTTCCATTCATTTAGGCACATCTGCCCCTATCCCAATATGCCCCCGCACTTCCCTCTCCCCATGTGTGTGTACCCCCACTTAGCCATCCTTCTCCCTCTGTCCTCGTGTTGCTGAACCCCCATGCTCTGTCCTTGCACCCCTACACCCCTGGCTTAGTGCTGTCACCCCACTAGCTGCTGTGCCCCCACTCCAGTCTCTGACTACCCAGCAGCCCTGTGTGCCCCATCTTTCTGGTAACCCATGCCTCCTTACCTGCCCCCACAAGCAGGGTGCTGTGAAGAAAGCAACCTCTCCATGGCTGGTTGCTCTGGCCCAGAGCCAACTGCTGTCTTTTCTGGCACCACAGTGGCCCCTGGTCTGCGGAAAGTGTAATTGCAGCATATCCTGGGCAGAATGTACAGGGGGCACTTAATTCTCTGTGTGTGCAGTGGCACAGAATTCCCCCAGGAGTAAGGTTGCTACTGCTGTCAGCACTGGTGCACCCGCCACCTCACCTCAGTGCTACGGTATAGGAGTGTGGCTATGGCCTATAGCAGGGGTGAGCAAACTTTTTGGCCCAAGGGCACCATCTGGGTATAGAAAGTGTATGGCGGGCCATGAATGCTCATTAAATTAGGGATTGGGGTACAGGAGGGGGTGAGAGTGCAGGAGGGTGCTCTGGGCTGGGACTGAGGGGTTTGGAGGGCAGGAGGGGGATCAGGGCTGGGGTGGGGGTTGGTGTGTGGAAGGGGGCCAGGGGTGCAGGCTCTGGGCGGCGCTTACCTCTAGTAGCTCATAGAAGCAGAGGCATATCCTCCCTCCGGCTTCTCTGCGGAGGCACATCCAGGCAGCTCTGTGTGCTGCCCTGTCCACAGGCACCGCCCCTGCAGCTCCCATTGGCTGTGATTCCTGGCCAATGGATTCTGCGGGGGCGGTGCTTGGGGTGGGGGCAGCATGTGGAGCCCCCTGGCTGCCCCTATGCGTAGGAGCCGGAGTGGGACATGCTGCTGCTTCCAGGAGCTGCGTGGAGTGGGGCAAGCCCCCGACCCGTCTCCCCAACGGGAGCTTGAGGGCCGGATTAAAATGTCTGGAGGGCCAGATGCAGCCCCGGGCTGTAGTTTGCCCATCTCTGGCCTATAGTGTGTAAGAGCAGAAGGGGTGAGTGTGAGTAAGGTAGTCGATAGTGGAGACTGTGCTCTTTCAAAACTATAATAACTTCCAAGATTGAGTTTTTTTCTCTGTTGTCCTAAATAGTATTTTGCTTGCTCTTCGTACATAATGGCTGCAGACACTGCTGCTCCTTATGTTCATTGCACCTTCTCTTCTCAGTTCCCTTAGTGTTGCTTAATTTTTGAGGGGGTTTGTATTAATTTAGTCCTAAAAATATAACATTCAGGTTACTAATCTAATCCAAGAAGCACTTTCTGGTGGTCACAGAAAGCTGTCTGCTCATAGGGTGCTGGTTCTTGTTTCCAGCTAGGAGAAATTAAAGTGGAAGGAGAGGGAAATGAAATGTTCACCAAAAGTAAATGGTGAGGTTTATTTTCTTTAAAAAAAAAAAAGACAAAATACATGGAGCAAATAAAAATATGGTAAGTACTTTTGAAATACTATTTTCCTATGTTATGTGGTTATAAAGAGGGGGGCAAAAAAACTAGA